CTGGCCCCCCGGGGAGGCCCAGACCCGCCCGGCGGCGCAGACGGAGCTCAACGCCCGACAGGACGAAGCGGAGCGGGCCGCTGCAGAACGAAGCCACATCGGAGACTTTGCCAGCGGCCATGGCCCAGGAGCAAGAGGAGCCGCCCTTCGGACTCAACACCAGCGACTTTGAGGAAGAATACTCTCAGCCGGACTTTCCCGACAGCACGCCGTTCGTCCCGGTGCATACGCGGCCCAGACGCAAGCAGATGAGGAACCCGTTCTACCCGGTCACCGCAGAGTCGTACGGAGCGTACGCGGTCATGATCACCGCCGCCGCCATCTTCGCTTTGGGGATCATCGGGAACGTGTCCGTCATGTGCATCGTGTGTCACAACTACTACCTGAGGAGCATCTCCCACTCGCTGCTGGCCAACCTCGCGCTCTGGGATTTCGTTGTCATCTTCTTCTGCCTGCCGCTCGTGGTGTTTCACGAGCTCACCAAGAACTGGCTGCTGGGAGAGTTCTCATGCAGGATCATCCCCTACCTGGAGGTGAGAAGGGGAGGGGTTCGGTTCTGGTTCTGGTTCTGGGGTCGATGACTTAGGGTTAGATGTATACAGGTGAGAAGCAGATCTGACATTATACAGCTTCGAAATGTAGCTTATGGATATTAACGCAAAACCTTTGTTTTAACAAAAATATAAGGGAGCAGACTCGGTTTACCTAAGCAGTGAATAACTTGGTGAATGTGATCATTAGTTTTGTGGTAAAGTTCACTGAGGCATCTCAAAGAAACTTCAGAAAGCAGTTTTCAGGCTAAGTGTGTTAGATTTGTTTTGTCTAACATTTAGTGTCAATGCAGGCAGAAATGTGAGTGGAAAGAAAAGGTGTGGAGGTCTGCGGACAGTGTGAGTGGAGCAGGGGTGTGCCTACAGTTCAAACTGGTTGAACTTTGACCCCAGCTGTGCAGCCAGTCACAGGGTTAATCCCAATTCTCTTAATTGCATCCATGTTTCCCTCACTTGGCTCTTAGTCCCGCCCATGTAAGATGTGAGGCAAAGATACAAGGACAAAGAAATGGAGGAAACGTGATTTTAGACATAAAACATCCTTTGCTCCGTCTGAGGCATCCAATCACCGATTTCTGATAAAGGGTTGTGTCATCGGTAAAAGGCTTCTGCAAAGGATGCTCCCATATGTCCTTGCTTATGGCTCCTCGACCAGCCTCCTCAAACCTCCTGAAAGAGTTTTGGGATGTACTGTGGTGATCTGCTGCTAGCAACATTACATGGATATGAACATGGAGTTCAGAGTGGTAAAAACTGCAGAGTGCACAACATGGCCTTTGTTTCACTGCTATAAAATCAGGTTTCATCAACAAAAGCAAACCACACCTACTGAACATGTGACAGCCTGCTGTCCAATCCGAGTGAAGATCAGGATTAGTGAAGAGTCTCAGACTGAGATTAACCAGGAAGACCCCCCCTCTGATCAGTGAACTGTCCTCATCAGCAGGACAAGGCTCTGAGATTAGATGGAGTTTATATGGATCAGATTTGTGTCCGTGGCTTTTGTTGTACTTTTGTTCAGGCTCTGTTTTTCCTCATTTCCACTGAATGGAAATCTTATGTTGTCATATTTTAGATTAGACAACAGTGTTCCTATGACTTAGTGTCAGCAGTTTGTCCCCAGGCACAAAGCCAGGTGTATAAACAATGGTTTTCCCAGTTTGGTGCGGAAGTACTTGACAGGCCCGCACAGAGCCTCGACCCCATGTGTGACTGCAGCCAGGTTCCAACATCTGCTGGAAAGACTGGAACCAGAGGAGTGGGGCCTGTTAGAGCAGCACAATGGCTGCGCTGTTTACATGTCCACATACTTTTGGCCATTCCCTGTATTTGTCCTCTGCGTTGCTTGTGGTCCTGGTGTTGAGCTGAAATTTCTCACGTTGATGTGTTTTAAGAAATGTGACTGTCAGAAACAGGCCGACCTGTTTGTAACTCACTGTGGTGGGGAACATTTTCTGATGTAGTCTGGAGACAGTTGATTTTAGAGTTTGAGCTTCTTCACAGCAGAATCTCTCCTTGTTAGGCTGTTTGCTGACACTATATGTGAATTTACACATTTATTTTAAAAAAAGTTTCTTTTTTTATTTTAATAAGGTGAATAAAGGTAAACTAAGTGACTAAAAGCACAAAATGAAGAGCCAGTGCATCAAATGTGATACTGTCAGTGTTTTAGAGGTTGGCTGATAGTTATCAGTTTCATAACAGTAACACAGGCAGAGCTGAGAGTCTCAGATCTGGGACCAGCCCTGTTGTCTAATCTGTTTATTTAATGGAATGTAATCACACAAAAGCTGAAGAAAAATCTGAAAACCAGCGTAATGCTCTGACACACACACTGTTCTAGGGTCAGTGTGTGAAGTTTGAAGTACACAGTTTCTATGATCTGATGCTTTGATGGATTATCTGGTTTGGAACTTGTTTGTCTAATGTCTATGATTTTATTGTTAGGTGTGGTGCTTTGAATTAGCAGTAGGTTTTAATTAGGAGGGACTTTTGGTGCTAATTAGCTGCTGATGGCTGCAGTCTGTCAGCTTTCAGGTGTTTTATGAGGACATGAGCTGAAATGAAATGAAACCAAACCAAAGTGACCTGAGAGGCAGCCAGAGCCAGCTGGTGTTTTGCGCACTGACCGCTGCTGCTAGTGCCAAATTCGCTCAGTGTGACTGTGAGAGCATCAGAGCACAGGGGAGCGGGAGGTGACAGAACCTGTGGACACAGAGAAAAGGTTCCACGTCCAAGACAGTTTACTTTCAGAAGCTTAACCGGACCCTTCTGTTTTCTTTCCAGGTGGCATCTCTCGGGGTCACGACCTTCACGCTGTGCGCGCTGTGCATCGACCGTTTCCGAGCCGCCACCAACGTGCAGATGTACTATGAGATGATCGAGAACTGGGTGTCCACCACGGCGAAACTCGCCGTCATCTGGCTGGGTGCCTTGCTGCTGGCGCTGCCCGAGCTGCTGATCCGACAGCTGGTGACCGAGGATGGCGACCATCCCGACGTGACGCCGTGTGAGCGTTGTGTGGTCCGGATCTCCACCGAGCTCCCGGACTCTCTGTACGTCCTGGGACTCACGTACGACGGTGCGCGGCTCTGGTGGTACTTTGGGTGCTATTTTTGCCTGCCGACGTTGTTCACCATCTGCTGCTCACTGGTCACTGCCCGCAAGATCCGCCACGCAGAACGGACCAGTGTCCGCGGCAGCAAGAAGCAGATCCAGCTGGAGAGCCAGATGAACTGTGCCGTGGTGGCATTGGCCATCCTGTACGGTTTCTGCATCATCCCAGAGAACATCTGCAACATCGTCAGCGTGTACATGGCGACTAGTGTTCCCAGAAGAACCCTGGACATCCTGAACGTGGTCAGCCAGCTGCTGCTCTTCTGTAAATCTGCGGTGACACCGGTGCTGCTGCTCTGCCTGTGCCAGCCGTTCACCAGAGCCTTCCTGGACTGCTGCTGCTGCTGCTGGGAGGAGTGCGGCCCACCCCGATCCCACACCCCCGCTGCCACCAGCGACATCGAGTGCACCACCACCGAGCTGGAGCTGTCACCGTTCAGCTCCATCCGCAGGGAGGCGTCCACCTCCGCCACCTACGCTTCTGTCGGGACACACTGAGCTCAAAGACCATCAGCAATGAACTTGTTTTGGGTTGTTCCGCTGAGGTGAACTGGTTTGGTGGACACGCTGACATATCAGGCTACAAACTCCCGAATTGTTGAACACATTTGTGTTTACTGACAGACAGAATGAATAAGCCACTGTCTGTCCATTCACTGTTTACAGGGTCTATAGACAACAGATCCATGTGTTGTAGGAACTGGATACCTCACTGTACGGTTGAAGGTTCAGTCTACACCTCGAAGTGTCCTTGAACCCCAAGTTACTCCTAGTGATGTCACCGGTGTGAATATGTGTGTGTGTGTGTGTGTGTGTGTGTGTGTGTGTGTGTGTGTGTGTGTGAGTGAGAGAGAGAGAGAGAGAGAGAGAGAGAGAGAGAGAGAGAATGGGTAAATAGTGTAAAGCGCTTCCAGTGCGCTTCGTGCATAGAAAGGTTTAGAAATGTAAAACCTCCATGGGTTAAACGTATTAAAATTAAAACCGACATTGTTTGTAGTTGGAGCTGTCCCGTAAACAGTTTTACATAGGATATGTCTTTTTAAAATAATTTTAATCTAATTGGGAAAATGCTTTTTGCACTGACAGGGAAACGTATGTTACAATACCGCGAGTGGCCACAAGGATAAATGGTAGCGCCATATCCAGCTCTCATAACAAACAGTGGAAAGAACACAATATTCATTAATAGCATTTATTTAGTTAGTTTTTTTTTATTAACTCAGTACCTTTACTGAATCTGCACTCGGTGTTACATTCTGTTCACTGTCACCGGGTGCTGGTCTTTTTGCCATTGTCATTTCTCAACAGTTTCGGTGGAAAATGGAGATTGATGTTAGCTATGTTGAATTCATAATTAGTTGTTGGTTTTTCTTGAAAGCCCCCCACTTCAACCCAAATACATATTGATTTATTATTAAGCTGTGTTAGAAACATCCTCTGTCTATGTTGAATTATAAAATTTACTGCAGACCAGTTTCAATGTGCAATGGCAGCAGGTAATTTGTATTATTTAACTGTGTATGTACCAGTCAAACACTTTCCATTTTCCAGCTGTATAGTTCTTTCCAGGAAACTTTCAAGGAGATTGCTAAGAAATAACAGAGGCCATATGATCAAGTGTTAAATTATAACCTTAGGATAACAGACAGAAAACATTTGTTCCTCTGGATGTTCTTGGTTCTTTCATTTCTTTGTGTGATTGAGTTACATGGGACATATGTTAATACACTGAAAATGGCTGGTGATGCTGTGTTTGCTGTTCTTGTGAACCAGTTCTGGACATGTGAGCATGTTGTTCCTCACTGTTTTTTTTTTTTTTTTTATTTATAGTTTTTTTTTTTTTTTCTTTTTTTTAGCCTTGGGAAAAGTTATTAAAAATATTTTAAAATCAATTTTAATACAAGTTTTCTGCATTAGGTGAAGTTGACATTACTGTTATCAAACAGTTTTATGTCAACATTTGGCAAGCAGATGAAATCCATTGGCACCGAGGAACATTTTGTAGTTCCGTGCGTAGCAGGAGGGAAGTGGAGCCGCTGTTTTCACTAAGCTAGCATTTAGCCTGAGGTAATGGCAGAGGAAACACCCCACTCTCCTTATTTAGAAGGTCCTAGCTCCAAGAGGCAGTGCAAACTGATTCCAATGGTCAGTGTAACACCCTCCACATTATAGTATTTGCTACAACACGGTGGCCATGAGGAGCAAAACAACAGCATTTCACAAACCACAACATCAGAAAGAGAAAACGGCTTCTGACAGATGATGTTGGTGCTGCCAGGTCTGAGCAGGCTGCATCGCTGAGGCTTTGCTTCCTTTACGGTGTCAGCTGATCTTGATTGACTTGGGTTCTGTCCAAGTGGCTTTTTCCATAACCTGGGATGCCGTTGTGTTTGCACCTCAGAGCCACTGTAATATACTATCTATCAGTGAAGACACAATTCCTTTAAAATGATCTGAACTTAACCCATGTTGTCCTGTTCTAAACCAGGCAGTAGAACACCGTGCTCTTCATGTGCATGTTGCTGCAGAGCAGCTCTGCAGCACAGTAAGTTTGCTTCAGTAGCATGACTTTAAGGATTTAAACAAATTGAAATGTTCACACATATTTTGTAAATGCACCTGCTAATCTTATTCCTTGATGATTCAGCTGAGCCAGTCTCATGCTGATCTAAACATTAAGTCACATACTGTGACTGTGTCTATGAGGGAAATGAGGTGAACCTTTCTTCCTGGAGCCAGAGGTTTGCAAAATCACGCCTGTCATTATGCAACTCTTATTTTTCTGTCACACTGGCGCCAAGACGCCACAGTGTGAGATGCTGCCAGTCACAGTATGAAAATGTTGAACAAAGAAGATACTGATGACTTGACTTCAGTACTAGAGCTTGAGCAGTAGTGGAGCTAATAATGTAAGGTTTGTCCTCTGGTTTGGCAGTTCGGTTTATTTTGATAAAATCCTGCAGGGAGAACAGATGGAATGAGATGTACAGAGGGAAATGGGAACCCAAGAAAAGAAGCAGCGAGACTTGTTATTGCCATTCAGAGGACACAGCCCCCATTGTTTTTACAGTTCAGACTCAACACAACATGTCCTCGTCCACCGCGTTACAGTCAGTCCAACAAACAAGTGAAGCTCCCTGAGGCAGAGACAGAAAGCAGCCAGCACAGACGCATCAACGCAAGATCATCATATATCATGAAGATCTTTCTCTTTAAATGAATTTTATTTGATCAAAGAGACACAAGAGCAAAAAAAGATGCCTCCCCCTCTGAAAACAGTCAGTTTGCATGCTCAGCACAACGCTCAGCTGTTTGGTCTGTCACCATCATTTCATCGTCATCACCATCGCTAGCCAGCTGTTGGAGCACACAGCATGCCATTGTCCTCGCCTCCTGTTGTCATGACGATGAAGGGAATCTGCCTCTCCATGAACAGTGCTCCAGTAGCACAGACAGACGTCATCACTGATGGTTTCTGGTCTGAAACAGAACAGTCTTGAATGTAAATAACACATCCTGGTTACTGCTGGATTGGAAAATGGCTCAAACATCAAAATAAACCTGTGTCCATGTTCACAAACTGCTCGCTGACGCCTCAGCTGCTGCTGCTGCTCTTTGAATGGCTTCAGTACAAGTAAACACATGTTTGTGGTGGAGCTGTTTTAGCTCCGCACATTCTTTGTGGGAATGGTATGAAGGGCCAGCGTGAACATGTGTAGATTTCCTGTGTGATGTACACACTGAACCTGAAAAACTGGGAAGCCAAATGGTGGTAACAGCATTCAATAGCAGGCCTAATACAGAATCAGAAGTTTACCCAAGTGTTGACACGTAACACTTAAAATCTTACAATGTTCACTTTGTTAAAGGGAGTCTGTCAACATTTGGTGTATACTGTAACATTTAGGATGAAGCAGCTTGGTGTGCTGCAAACACTGCATTCAGCCATTTGATCAGACCCAGAGACTGTCTCACTCGCACGCCTCATGGTCATGCTGAATCCGTACCAACCTCACTGTCTTAATCAGAAAACTAGTCCTACTGTACTGTGCACTCTTATCAGTACTGTTTAGACTGATGAGGCTGGGCAATTTTATTGTCTTAAAAATCTTTGGCTTTACTCACCCATCATTTAACATAATCTTCATTTAAAATGACCTTTTTATAGCATTCGTGGATAATAGCATAACATTCTCGTCTAATCACCCGGAGGGGACTCTTTGTATGTACACGGCATTCTTCTCTAATTGCCCATTTGGCATCGATTTGCTCTCTGGCACCAAAGTTGCGTGTTTGAGCCTTTTGTAAATGAGGCTGGCGGCCCCAGTCGCTGCTTCAGTAATTAGACAGCCTCATTCATTCAGAAACAATGGGGTGACGGGTACAGTGGGGCTCCGCTGCCGAACAAGGTGCTCACTGACCTTCTCCCAACCGCTCCCAGGACTGTTTTGTGGGATGAGACGGACGTCCTGGGAGGGCTGGGATCGCTGCCCCTGACTGGTGGACCGGAGCCAGGGTTCCACAGTAACTGGCCTCCTCATCCTGAATGGTACAGGTTCAGATTCTTTTTGGTGCTGGGACGTCCAAGCACCATAACTACCGCGAAACAGTCCAAACTAAAAGGTCACAAACATCATTACAACAAGAAGTTGCCAAGTAGCTTTGTTTGTATTTATGTGTGTCCTTGTCATTGGTCACATTAGGAGACAAAGCTATTGCAAATTCTAGGTGTGATCCAACTGAACACTGGATGTGTTCAATTCTGACTGCCGACCCACTTGTCTCCCTCTCTCCTCTGCAGTGTGACAGTGTTTCTGCTGCTAACAGACTGCGCGGCAGCTCCCTGTGCCCTCGGCTGAATGAGTGTTAATGAAGGCTGACTGCAGAAGCTGCTGTCAGAGCTGTGGTGATCCGACTCCCTCTAAAGATTCCCTGCAGACGTCTGCTGCAGCTCACACCACAAACTCTTCACATCTAATCTGCTTCTGCAGACTGAAGTGTCGCCTCCTCACACAGTGTTGCTGCCGAGTCTCACATCCCAGAAAAAAGGGAAACTCGGGGCTGTTTATGAAGGTTCTGACAGGCTAAAGGAGAGATTTTGTTTCTGTGTCTGTTGGTTAGAAAACTGCCAAAATATCCAACTTGATACAAGCAAACAAAAAAAGAACCAAGCACCTCAGGGAACACACATAGTGGGATGGATAAATACTGCTGAGTGGCATCAAGCTTTTAATGGTAATTCATGACTTCAAGGTGAATGTGATCAAAACTGAGAAGCATGATGCAAGTCAGCTACAAAGAGACACAAAACCACTACAAAGAGACAGAAAATGGCTCCAAAACAGTAAACTGACTATAAAAATATGCAAAACAACAAAAATAGAGACAAAGCAACTATAAAGAGATCCAAAACAACAAAAATAGAGACAAAGCAACTATAAAGAGATCCAAAACAACAAAATATACACAAAACTAAAAAGACAAGGTGCAAAGAGTAAAAACTGAGACAAAATAGCTAAAAACAGCCACAAGAAAACGTGTTCATGATCCTAAGAACAGTTTTTATATTAGTTTTGCTGTTTTGTGTAACATTTTATGTAAAAATATTTCCACACTCATTTTAAATGCAATGTAAAAGAAACAAACATGACCAGTGACTGGCCAAACCTCAGGCGAGAACGTCAACATGTGCTTAACCCCTGTGAGAAAGATCACGGTGAAGGGTTAAAGATAATTATGAGGAGAAATGAGATTTGGGGGGGGGGCATCTAAAGGCCTGTCCGCCCAATTACTGCATGAAAGAGCCTATTGACAAACACTTGGAGTCAGCATCCATAATGTATCTGCTCCAACAGAAAACATCGGCTGGGATCATTTGGCAGGTCGCTGTTGTTGCTGGGAGCAGATTTCTAATTGTGTCCCTGCTGACAGGACTGGGTGAAATGTGGGAGGGGGTGAATTCCCTTAGTGAGGCATCGGTTTTTGCAGCGGGGTGTTCAGTCACAGCTGGTGACCTAGAAATGTTGCCGCAATCCCCAACAAAGGAGAAGAATTGGGACAATACAGCTCTTATTCCCCCTCCTTCTGACAGAGCGGATTATACGGGCAGGACGACCGAGCCAAGCTGGGCCGGGCCGGGCCGAACCAGGCTGCCACAGCACAGAGGGCGACAGCTCCACCAGGGACAGGCCTCAGGGTGACCATGCAGCGTGGTCCCTGACCATCCGCTGCTAAAGTAGTCTATCACACTCCCACTGGTACCTCTCTCAGTTTTGGGGGCCATAAGACTAACAAAGCACCAGA